ACTACATCTCAGAGGTACATGTTGTACTTTTTACTGTACTACATCTCAGAGGTACATGTACTTTTTACTGTACTACATCTCAGAGGTACATGTTGTACTTTCTACTGTACTACATCTCAGAGGTACATGTTGTACTCTCTACTGTACTACATCGCAGAGGTACATGTTGTACTTTTTACTGTACTACATCGCAGAGGTACACGTTGTACTTTTATTTATTAAGACCCAGTCCTGTAAAGTTTGTTGAACTCTTGGGGATAGTTTGATCTAAAGGAGATGATCGGAGGTTGTTTGTGTTAAAACACTGAAGTTTATTTCTTAAACACAGGAGATGTGAAGAGTATCATCAGGAGTTTAGTTACAAAGAAGGTTTTCTTCCAGACGTTGGTGCACCACAGCATTTGACCAATGTTTGGTCTGAAGGTTTAATTGATTTTAAAGATGCTCGTCGTTTCCTGTGGATCCACTGAGTCATCGGAGGGTTTGATATCCAGCTGAACTCATATTCTCTGAAATAAGAATAACAGACACTTTAGGAAGTGCACGTGTTAATGCACGAGTGGAGGCAGAGAAGCACGCGAGTGTAGCGAGGGTTCCTCTGTGCTGCAGATCCTCCTTCAGCACAATCATCTCGTATCACGGTTAAAATTTCAGCTGGGTTCATTAAAAACTGCTAAAACATTTTCACACTTGATGTTGGTTATCAGCATTTATTCCTAACAATGATTTAATTTGAGCTGAACTGCAATATGTGTGCGTTTTAAATGTTTTTCTTATGTGCACACTCTTAGCCAATCAGAAACAAGTGTATTCCCTCCAGAACATGTTGTAATTAAAATATATCTGCATTTTTTTTGGGATAACATGTAAGGAAGTTTAAAAAACAATCCCGTCATTGTCCCTCCTCAGTGGTAGGCGAGCGGGTCGAGGCCCTTCCGGACTCGGCCCCGGACTCGGGCGGCGGCGGCGGTCGGGGGGGCCGAGGGGCCCGGGCCCGGCAGGACCTGGCGTCGCTGCCCGCCGAGCTCATCAGCCAGATCGGCAACCGCTGCCACCCGAAGATGTACGAGGAGGGCGACCCGGCCGAGAAGCTGGAGCTGGTGAGCGGCACCTCCGTGTTCATCTCCCGCGCGCAGCTCATGAACTGCCACGTCAGCGCCGGCACGCGCCACAAAGTGCTGCTCAGACGCCTGCTGGCCGCTTTCTTTGACAGGTACGTGTTCGGCACATCGAGCTGAATACATTTATCCCCAATAACTGAGATTATTTAATGTTGTTGTTTCTTTGCTCAGGAGCACTCTGGCTAACAGCTGTGGGACCGGCATCCGCTCTTCAACCAACGACCCCAGTCGTAAACCCCTGGACAACAGAGTGCTGCACGCTGTCAAATGTGAGTCACACACGCGCACGCACACACACACCACCTTTAATACTATAAATACTCTGAGTTACATCTCGCTGAAATTTTGGAGCAGCCTTCATGCTAAGTTGCCCTTTGCGGCTGGCTCCTCGCCATCCGTCGTCCTCCTTCTTTTGTGGTTTCTTTCTACATCTTCCTCTCTTTTCCGTCCTCCAGTTTACTGCCAGAACTTTGCGCCGAGCTTCAAGGAGAGCGAGATGAACGCCATCGCGGCCGACATGTGCACCAACGCCCGCCGCGTCGTCCGCAAGAGCTGGATCCCCAAGCTCAAGCTGCTGATGGCCGACAGCGACGCCTACTCCGCCTTCCTGGCCGACAGCGTGAAGATGGAGGCCGACGCACTGGGGGCGGAGCAAGGCTTTGACCCCACCTCCCTGGAAGCGGTGGCGGCGGCGGCCGCCGCCGCCGCCAACCATAACGAGGCAGGGGGCGGAGCCACGCAAGCGGACGCCCTGCACGGGGCGGGAGGAGACGGCAGCACTTTGTTTTGAGTGAGTGAACGGACAGATGAGGGGGCAGATGGACGGATTGATGCGGGGAGGGGGGGGTCTATTCCTTCTTTTACACCTCTTTTTTCGGTTCAACTTGTTCTGCCTCCCCTCCTTCGTTTGTCCACATTTGTCTCTCAACTGCCCAGAATGCCTCACTTCGGGTTGTCCCACCTCTCCGGTCGAGAGAGATAGAAAGACAGAGAGAAAGGTAGTAGAGAGAGGAGGTTGGAACACCCCCCAACCTCCTCATTCCTCTGCAACCTTTCTAACTATTTCAACCTTTATTTTTTTATGTTTTTAAAGGTGTGTACTGTCACTACGGCCCCTTTTCTTACCATGATCAATCACAGACATTCCCGGGGGTTTATTGGGTGGGGGTGGGGGTGGGGGGGGGCGATCCTGTTTTGCAGAAAGTGATATTTCCTTCCCCAAACTCCGGTAACACTGTTGTTTTTGATATTGAATGTATGCGTGGCGAGGCATCCGACCCGCGGCTTCGTGAAGTCAGAGGAGGTTGAGTGAGCCTTCTTTTTTCCTTCTTTCTTTCTTTCCTTCGTTTATTCGTCTGGAGATGAAAGCTTCTCTGAGGTCGGGGGGGTTGAAATGAATATTGATATGTATATTGGCATGGTTTACAATGCCCTCGACCTCCGCCCGCCCCCACCTACGCTGCTCTTTAACCCGCTGCCGGGCATGCTGGGAAACTGACCCACCAGCCTCTTACTTTATTCTGCTGGTGAGTTCTGACTGACGGGGAAAAAAAAGAATATTTGTCTTAAAAAACCTTTTCCCCTCAACCTCCCTTCAAAAAGACCATTTCAGTTACTTTTGTGTTTAAGATCTTAATTGTTCTTTATTATTTTTGCCACGCCTCCTGAAGGAGAGGAAACTTGTTACCGATGATTGTCAAAGAGTTTAAATGCACTGTGTTACTTCCTGCGGTATGAGTACAATCGAGCTACGTTTTTTGTACGAATCAGAAAGAAGTGTTTTTATTTTTGAAAAACGCAACAAAAAACAGAGAAAAAACTACGAGCTGAAATCCAATTTATATCTCTGATTAGCACCCCTTTTTTTAAAGTCTGAAGGAAAGTTAAGAAATATCCAAAAGTGTGTGTGTGTGTGTGTGTGTGTGTGTGTGCGCGTGTGTGTGTGCGTGTGTGCGTGCGCGCGTGCGTGCGCATTGATGTTCTTTTTGTTTCCAGCCCATGTTTAAATAGTTTTCCTTGAGAATATCCGCGGCCCGTTAGCAGAGCAAGTCTCCCCAGGCTCTGCAGCCTGCGTGCTCGCTTGGCGTGGACAATGGTGCTAATTCAGGCATTGGTACATTGCTAGGAATACAGCTCTGTGTGTGTGTGCTGCAGAGAGAGGGGGGGGGGGGGCCAGACGGTGTGTTTTCACACACGCTTGGTCGATTCATTCACCCATCACAGCGGTGAGTGCGCGCTAATGCGCATTTGGGCGCTGTCAGCCGCATCAGCTACAGTACAGCAGAGCAGCATGGGAATTAAAGGGGAATTACACAGAAGCAGAGCGGAGAGGGCCGGCGCTCGCCACGTGCGAGCACTCGCCTTAAATTCATTTAATGAGGCTGCGTTAGACCGGATGGTGAACTGTCACCAAAGTTTTGTCTGCTGGTTTGACGGTTCCTCTTTATCTGGCTACATGGGAGGTATTAAGAATGATAAATAATAGAACTCAAAGAAGAAACGACATATTCGCCTTTTTAATACTCGCGTCGCTAAATGGCGGCTTTTAGAAAAGTGAGCGGCATCTTTTCTCTTTTCTTCTGAACACTGACCTCGAGAACACGCTGAATACATACATCAGCTAGAGGAGGATTGAACACAGCGGCTCCAGGTGAACCGTTTTCTATTGTTTAGTGTCACTGATATTTTGCTCATAAATACATTAAAACCATCGATATTCAAATCCTCATTCCACCCGGTTTCAGTTTAAACTCGCTCTTTAAAATCATTCCCAGACAATCAACATGAAGGTGATCCTTCTTATGTCAGACGTCACACACCCGTCAGGTGGAAGTTATTAGAGCTGCAAATATTCATCTATTAATCGCCAAATATTGTCATTTTTTAAGGGGAAAAAAGGGAAAATTCTCTGATTCCAGCTTCTTAAATGAACACCAGTGAACACTAGGGTTCACTAGCGTTTAGTAGCGAACACTAGGGTTCACTAGGGTTCACTAGAGTTCACTAGCGAACACTAGGGTTCACTAGAGTTCACTAGCGAACACTAGGGTTCACTAGAGTTCACTAGCAAACACTAGGGTACACTAGTCACTAGGGTTCATTAGTGTGATGACGCAGAAGGTCAAAGGTGCCAACATTTTAAAAAAGGAACGCGTTGAGTGTTTTAATTTGAAAGATAATCCAGCTGTTACATCACTATCATAATATCTGTTAATCGTTTTGCCTTTTTTATACTGCGTTCCCTGTGCGTTTAGTTCCATCTGCCGTTTGATTATTAATGTTGCGAAATTCCCAATTGCGAAAAAACATATCGTATCCAAAATGTTTCTTTTTTTAAAGTGTGATAATCTTGCCTAACACTTTAAAACCCCCAAAAGAAACAACTTGACATATTATAGATTTGTTTGTTGCATACTAGACGTTTAAAGAACTGACATGTTTTACGCTTATTTGGCCTTTTTCTGGTGTGTTTTTATTTTATTTAGAAATGAGAAGAAACCTCAAGCACCTTATTGCCAAAGTGGCAACATAAACGCTGTGGAGATCTGTTCAATGTCACTGTCGCCAGTTTATACTGATGTTTGGACTGAGACACACACACACACACACACACAGACCCCCGAGGTGAAGGGTCTGTCGTTAAACCGTCTCTTAAAGGAAACACACAAACGTCTAAATGTTGAAACTCCCCCGCAGAAGAACCAAAAATCTAACCTGTTTGTATCGGTACCAGTTCTGTAGACCAGTGTTGTAACAAAACGGCGTTTGAGGAAAGATGTTTACGCCTCTATTTGCTTTTTTACATATTTTTACATTTCTTTTAAAATCCTTAAAAGCGTTGGTCCTGAGACGAGCACCTGAAGGTGCTACAGTCAGGAGGTGGAGGGGCTTTTACCCCCCCCCCCCTGTTCTGGAGCACATGGTGCAATCGAGGAAGACAAGTTGAGTTACTGAGCACAGAGGAAAGAAGAAGAAGAGAGGGAGGAGGGGGAGGTTTGCACATTTTCCATTTTTGTTTTCCTTTTTTAAAAAAAAAAGAAGAAATCTTTGTATTCCAATGCTTTGTTTAAAAACCGCCGCCTGAAATGAGAAAAGAAAATTCCGAGATGAGAGAGGGAAGAAGACAGTCTGAGCCTCCCTAGAGAGGGGGGGGTGGGGGGGGTGTTGGCTGGGACGCTCAGATGATTTGGTGTGAATGCATGCATACTGCTGTGTACGGCAGCGTGAGCTTTTTTTGTGGGTTTGGGAGCTGTTTGTAAAGGCTTTGTGTGTGTGCATCTATGGGCAAACACTGTGTGTATGAGTGTGTGAGAGTGTGTGTGTGTGTGTGTGTGTGTGTGTGTGTGTGTGTGTGTGTGTG